AGTTAATCCTTTTAAGCAAAAATTGTTTACGTGTTATGATTGCCTTTTATGGCATCAATAATTATTAGGGCTGTACCGGATTTAATTTTTTCAAATCCGGCCGGAGCCGGATTCGCCGGATTTCTACTAATAGATCCAGCCGGAATCGGAGCCGGAGTTAGATTTCGAAACAAAATTAAAGGAGCCAAAATCTTTTACTTCCTTACTTGGTGTTGAAAACGGTCAACAATGTGGACTATTCAGAATACCAAGTGCCAACTGTTTTCTGTTGAACTTCATTGTTGTTATTAAAAAAAGTTTTATAGCAATTTCTATAGAAATTAATAGATATTCTACAGAAATTCTATAAGCCATATGTTTCAAAAGTTTATAGAAACTCTTTTGAACTTTTTTTTTGGGATGTTGTCACTCCGCCACTGTAGTGGATCAGTGTGTCTATTTATTTCTGGTTTTTCCAGATATTGGCTTAGCTGAGTGTCAATGCCTTTTAATAGTTGTTGTTCAAGTGCTGTTTCACCAGCGGATGTAGACTGAATAATTTTATCAATAAATTACCAGAGTAATGATGATGATGTATAAAAACTATCCAGCCTGGTTTATTTTGCTGGATTTTCTTGGGTTTTGTCAATCTTCTGCTCAACATGTTCAGATTGACTTCAATCTTGCTTTTTCAGCTGTCAGTGTTGCTTGTAATGAGGAGAATTTAGTTTTAAATTGTGGATCAACTAGTGTCGTCACTATATAAAGAGGTTTCTCTTTTCAATGCTTTTAAAACGTTTGTCCAATGACTTGATTAGGGTTTATGTAAACACGGGCAATAAAAATGTATTTGACCGAAATTCAAAACTCCGGCTTAAATTATGCCGGATTTGCAATTTTTTTGCCGAAGCCGGATTTAGGCCGGATTTGTAAAAATGGCCGGATTTCGGTCGGAGCAGGAGCCGGAGCCGAAATCTGGTACAGCCCTAAAAATTATCCACAATTTTGTTTTTTATAAAATTAAATTGTTTGAATAAGTTTATCAGTTTTTTGTAATAAATTATTTTATTGCATAGTTTTAGTGCTCTGCATAAAAATCGACGATGAAAACTTTGTAGGTTGTATGCTTTAAGTTGTTGATTGATTTGAAATATATCTTTGTTTTGAATATTAATTTTGATTAGTAAAAATAAAATCATATAGTATGCATTGCATAGGCTTTGTATTTTTTTTTCGTGTAGTAAATTATAAGATCAGTAATCCAAGTTAGGTTGGATGAATATTTTTAAGAATTGTAAACAAACTGTGAAAGCTAGACGAATTATTTTAGACATTGAGAATAATGTTTTGTATGCTTTTGCTTTTATCTCTATTATGTGTTCGGTAAAATGTAATTTGCTGTATATAATGACACCAAGCAAAGAAAATTTATTAAATATTTCAGTTTTAAACATATTGTTTAATATGGTTGATGTTGGTGATATTATTTTAAATGTATGTTTATTTGCTAAAATCATTGCTTTAGTTTTATCCCATTTGATGCCGAGTTTATTAGCATAGCACCACTCAATAAAGTTAATAAATGCTGACTGAGTCTTTATTATTAGATGGTTTATATTCGTATCACTTGTCATAAGTGTTGTGTCATCTGCAAATAATGTTGACTCAAATATTGTCAAATATTCAGGTAGATCATTAATGAAAATCAAAAATAAAAAAAAAAAAGGTTCTAAAATGGAACCCTGCGGTATACCGATATTAACTTGTTCTACTTTAGAATAAGCATCTTTAACTTCAGTAAATATTTTTTTATTATGAAAATAGTTGCTTATTAAATTCAAAGTTGAAAAACCATAATGTTTTAGCTTCAAAATCAGTAATTTGGAATCTAAGTCAAAAGTTTTTCTGAAATTGATAAATATTAATTATGAAAAGAGTTTTTTAGAGTTGCATAGCTTTACTTTAGAGATGAAACCGTGTTGGCCATCATTAAATAAATCATTTTGTTAAAAGTATGCGGTAACTCTTTTAACAGTTATTCGTTCAAACACCTTTGTTAGTGGAGATACTTTAGTAATACTTTGATAACAATCGATATCATGAACTTCACCTTTTTGTTTATAAAGAGGCATAATATTATGCCATAGTATTATAATACTACCTATTTTAAGTATATTTCTAGACATTTGTTGAATATAGTTATACATGGTTTATATATGGTATATATGTTGAAAATACTCATATATGGTATATATATATATATATACATATATATATATATATATATATATATATATATATATATATATATATATATATATATATATATATATATATATATATATATATATATATATATATATATATATGTATATATATATTTAATTATTCACCTCCCCAAAGCCCGAGGGGGCCACTACAGTCGAGGAGGCTACTCATTTTTTTTTTGTTTTTTGTTTTGTTGTTGTTGTTGTAAATCGTGGTACAACCCTCTCTCAACTCTTTAACTCCGAAACACGAACCTTGACAAGCAAGGCCGCTGCGCGGAGAAATTAAGTTGAGCGCGGTACTTCCAGGGACGTGGTGGGAGCCACATATATATATATATATATATATATATATATATATATATATATATATATATATATATATATATATATATATATATATATATATATATATATATATATATATATATATATATATATATATATTTGCCTTAACGACATTTGCCGACTGACTGTCTAAGTTTACCGACTAACTTGTCGAAAAGATTTACATTTGCCGACTAACTAGTCAAATTTGCCGACTAAATGAACGAAAAAATCATTAATGGGCGGTGTCACACACCCCCACACCCCCCATTGCACCAGCCTTGTATACTTAAAAATATTATTCTATAAAGTTTCAATAAACTAATATACTCGTATAAATATTACCACTTTTATGCTAAACGTATTACTTACTATAAATTTTTAATCAAGCTGTAAATTTTTAATTAAAAATAAATACCATAGTCACTTACTATAGTATTGATTTTCAATTAAAAATTTAGTACTTTAAGTAGACAACGTCTCCTAGAATTATCGATGTGTTGTCGATTCGGGTGTTAAACCCTATTTGGAGTTAAATGGTCAAACCCCATAAAAAAAATAAGTAAAGTTTTAAACTTAACTTTTTTTTCTATAACTTTATTACAAAGTTATAGAAAACCAAAGCTTTAGATGATTTTAATTTTTCTTTCTTTTTTTCTATTTCTCTCTTTTTTTTAATTTCGTTCATTTTCTTTCTTTTTTCTTTTAGCGACACCTGGCGTTGTTGTGCCTATACTAAAGGCGGACCCATGTGGGCCCTATAGTCCGCCACTGAGTTCAGAATAAAGTATTAACAATTACCGATTGATAATTATTGATGACCTAGGCTATAATTGAACCTACTATATTTTTGATCGGTTGAAAAGAACCAGTATATCGTATCTCTAAAATGCACTGCCATAAAATGTTGTTCTAATTTGTAAAGTTGAATTTTCCTACTGTTATTCTTTTTTTGAAATTAAATTGCCGCACAAATGACGCATTTCTTGTATATGGTATTGTATATGGTAAATTAAAGCGTCATAGTGAAGGAATTGCCCAAAACGTGACTAAGTTAAACGTGAGCTAAAATTGCAATTATTAAATGCTAGAATATGAAATAATTTGTAATGACTTCATAATTTTTGTTAAAATGTTTATATTTTTTACCCTTTTTTGTTTAAGTTTTATGCTTTTCAACTTAATGTTAAAAGAAGCTTTACTAAAGTCTTCAGTTAGCTTTGATCGCACTTAAATTAATTTAATGTTAACAATACTAAATACTAAAGTTGTTATCAGTAACAGTACCGAACAACTTTGCAATGATTTATGCATTTAATATTTTTATATTTTTCAATCATTAAAAAAACAATCCATACTTTTTTTTTCAATATTTTTTCTTGTTCCTATTATTAAATTGCTTCTTTTTTTTTTTACAAAACAAAACAGTAGAAGATGAGTTTTAGTTTATAAGAAAAACTAAAATCGTTCACACTTTGGTTTTGTTGTTCAGTATTAGCTAAGTTGTTCAAAAGTTTAGACATTTCAAATTAGTGATTATATATATATATATATATATATATATATATATATATATATATATATATATATATATATATATATATATATATATATATATATATATATATATATATATAAATATTATATATATATATATATATATATATATATATATATATATATATATATATATATATATATATATATATATATATATATATATATATATATAAATATTATATATTATATAAAATGGATTTGAGAATAAATAGATTTGAGGATAAATAGATTTTTGAGGATAACCATATAAATATTATATATTATATAAAATGGATTTGAGGATAAATAGATAGATTTGAGGATGACCATTTTATAAATAAATACCTTCTACTATATTTATCACTTTATTGCTATATTACACTTTATGATAGTCATATATATATATATATATATATATATATATATATATATATATATATATATATATATATATATATATATATGTATATATATATATATATATATATATATATATATATATATATATATATTTATATATATATATATATATATATATATATATATATATATATATATATATATATATATATATATATCATATCATATCATATATATAAATATATGTATTTAAATTGGTAAGTAATAAAGTGATAAATATAGTAGAAGGTATTTATTTATAAAATGGTTATCCTCAAATCCATTTTTAGGCACTTTGATACATATACAGAATATGATACACACTTTGCTACACATATAGGATATGTATCAAAGCGCCTCAAAATGGATATTGGAATCATTTTTGATATCTTCTTTTTTTGATAATTTTTGATATTTATTGTTTTATTACTTAGTTAATTTCTCAATTCTTGATTTTAATTATGCTAACTATAAATTTTTATATAATGGCTTTTTTAGACTATATTTTATTATATAAAATATGGCTTCTAATATTACACAAGAAAAGTCTTTGACATCAAAAGAAATTGCTTTGTATGTTGGAATTCCTATTGCCTCTTTGTGTATTGCTGGTGGGATATATTATTATTACACAAAAAAATCAGTAAAGTTAGAACAGTTTCCTGATAATCAAAATGCGTCTGAATATATTCTTGTTCCTAATGAAAACGAAGTATGTTAAAAAACAAAAATATGTTACATTACAAATATATTATCTATATAGTACTTATATATAAATCAAAATGGTAAAAAAATAATTTTTTTTTTGTGTGCTTTTTTTATTTAAAAAGTAGCTCTTTAACACTATATATTTCAGTCTTCTACTGAAATTGCAGCATCTGAAAAGTCTAAAGGAAACAAATACTTTAAAGCTGGTCGTTATGAACAAGCAATAGAATGCTATACAAAAGCGCTGAAACATTGTCCTGAAGATAATTTAATTGATATTTCTACATTTTATCAAAACAGAGCTGCTGCACATGAACAACTAGTATGCCTTGTATTTTATATGTATTTATTTTTTATTACAATAATCTCTAGGTAAAATAAAGGATTTTACCAGTTTTGCAGATTTTAAGTTATGAAATTGCAATTTTTAATTTTAAAATGTATAATTTTAAAGTTGAAAAAAAATCAATGCTTTTTCAATAAAAAAAATTTTTTTCCACTTTATTTTATTTATTTTTTATACATGTATATATATATATATATAGATTTATATGTATCATATATATATATATATATATATATATATATATATATATATATATATATATATATATATATATATATATATATATATATATATATATATATATATATATATATTATATATATATATATATATATATGTATATATATATATACATACATATATATATATATATATATATATATATATATATATATATATATATATATATATATATACATATATATATAAAGTAAATAACCCTACCTCCCTTGTCAGTCATTATCATTTTGAGAGCTTGACCCTTTATATAATTGCTCTACATAATCAAGATCCAGGTTTTTTGTATCAACAACCAAGCAGAATGCATGGTAGTCTAAAGTTGTTTGCTTTTCTTTTTGATGCTCCTTTAGCATTTATGCAAGGCATATTTATCATTCAAGAAATCAGTAAAATGACATTAGAAAACTTATAAAATGTTAAATGCTGAGACTAAATTGAGATAACTAAAACTTCGCATATATTAGAAACTAAAACTACTATTTGCATATATTAGAAAAGCAATATTAGTATATTTAACAATTACCATAACAGTTATTGTAACTTGTCATAAAGTTGTCATAAACAGAAATGTTATTCCATTATTATCTTTAAGTTTTTATACACTTGTAATAAATAATCATAAAATAATGAAAATTTTAAAAAATGTCACAAGGTTGTAATTATTTTACCATCTTTCAATGCATATTGATAAACAGTTCCTAAATAATACAATAGATTTAATGTTAATTGTTACATTTGTTACAAATTTTTTTAAAAATTCATATTTTAGAGTATTAGTAAAAATAAACAACTTTACTTCACAGATCACAAAAAAAATAAAATGTTGATCTCTGTAAACTAGAAACTGCGTAAAATATTTATAGTAGTTTTTAATTTAAAAATCAAACTTGTTTATAACATACATATTTATAAATTTTAAAATACTTTAGCATACAAGTTTATAAAGTTACTATTTTTAAATTTTAACATTTAAACAATTTTCAAGTATTTGAAGACTCAAAGATCTTGCTAATAATAGAGAGAAGACTTATTGAACAATAATTGGAGGGGTCAGAAATTGAAAAAAGTTTTAGAGAACACTTATGTAAGAAAGAATCATTATGAGATTATTGATCTACAAAGTAACCTTTTACACAACCTTGTGAACTTTCTCAGAGTTTTTGTATTTGCTCCTACTCACTATTCAACAAGATAACATCTCAAAAATTATTGTAGCAAACTAATATAAGCAGAGATTTATTTTTTGCAAAACAATAATTTAAATATGGAATTTTCAACTTTAGTAGTTTATGTATTTATATTGTTTGTGTTTCAATCAAATTTAAAAATGCGCAACATTCAAAAATACTGTGTACTGTATTAATTTGTGTACCATCTTGTATTTTCTTTAAATGCAAATAAATAAAAATAATAATAATAAAAATGCTTAAAGGTAATGTTAAAAAACTTACTTTTTTGTATTATTTATTTATAATAATCTTTCAACCTTTCTCTACATTTTTGATTATATTTTTTTATTTCTCTATATTATACTTCTCTACATTCTTTACAGTTTCAATCTTTGTAAACCACTTTTTCAAGCGATATCAACTTTTTGTAACTGATTCAATTTTATTTTATTAATAAAACATTTTATTATTAGCCTTCATAACAAACAGTTTGTTTTCAAAACTAAGTGATATTTATACACATAATTTTTACTTTGTAAAATTATATATTTTTCATTTTTAATATTTATCAAACTGCTATATTATATATAAGTACAAAAGACCTAGCCTGTTTGATCATGAATTTCCAAGAACATTGGAAAATAGCTAAAAACAATTGCTAGCGGTTTTAATTTTTTTAATTATTAGATAACTGTTATTAAGATATTATAATATGCAAGTCAAATTAAAAAGATAAAAATAAAATTTAGAGAGCAGGCGGTGAGATCTGTCGCAAGGACACGCCCCTGACGAGCGGCGTTAGTGCAGATCTCGGGCTCTCCGAAAAGATGCAGTGCATTCATGAGGAGGGGGATCACCATTTATCCACTACTTAATTCTTATTGGTTATTATGGCACCAACATTTTTTCATCTCTTACACCCATGAATTTTTGCACTTTGTGAGCTTTTTATTATGAATTTGTTACATTAACGGCATTTATATATTTTTATGTTACACAGGTGATTATTAGTTCTCAATTTGTTATCTAGAATTTAGGCCATATATAGTACCACATTTATTAGATATTTGTATGGTGCCATTATTTTAGTTATGGATACCATTAATAAACCAGCGGATTTATAGCGGACTTGTTTACTCACAGATTATTGTTTTATCATTTGCTAAAGTTGACTAGAGTGTGAGTTTTGGTTCCTCTCTAAAAATTTAAAATCTTATTTTGAATCCAAAACATTGCAAATCAGGTGAAAAACCATATTGCTTGTTTGGAACATTGTTTGTTTTACATAAGGCTGACATCATTTTTATAGTCGATTTAAAATATGTTACCTTGATGTCGGGCCAACTAGTGCTTGCTGTTTTAATGTTTCATTTTGTCCATTAAAAGCAAAAAAAAAAAGGTTTTTAAAAATTTTCGAAATTTAGCATATTTCATACCCCCTCCCCCATGTTCTTTTAAAAAGTTTTACCCTCTTTGCAACTTAGATTCACTTTCTCTGTGATTATAGGCTAAATATGAATGTTTCAGTATACATACTTTGTATCAAATTTGATCCTATTATAGTTCTGAACTATGTTATATTATATTAACTCTATTAGATTATAATAGTAAATATAAATAAAACATTCAACTTAAGGATCAACTTATTTAATCTGAAATGAGCAATATAAAATTGAGGGAAACTGATGAGTTATTTGATAAAATTTTTGGGAAAATTAGGCAGACTTGTACTATGAAAGTAAAAAGAAAGGAGTAAAAAGAATCACAGAAAATAAAAGCTATAGAAAAAGAGAAATCAAGAAAAGAAAAAATATATATTTTTTTCTTTTTCATCAACAAATACTGCCAGTATTTGTTGATGAAGACAAAATTTGTGATGAAGAGGAAGATAAAACAAGACTGATATTACTAGACATTAAAAAAACAAAAAGATATTAGAACACCCTAAAGTTTCTTAAATGGCTGATAGGTTGAATCTATCCAACCCAGAAAGATCTGGGACCATTTTAGCTATAGCTGAAGCAAGAGGTCATAATTTGGATCTCAAAAATCACAGTAAGCAGATCAGATAATAAAAATTTCAGATGGCATTAAAAAAAATTAACTTCACCCACATTTGATGATTTATGAAAAAATCTAGACAAATAAGAATTTAAGGAACAGTCACATTAAATAGATGAGACTTAATTGAATGATGAGTAACACAAGAATGAACTTTAGTAGATGGCACAAGAGACGCTAGCTCTTTAGAGCAATGCCCATTATAGTTTTTATAGAAAAAAGAAAGAGAAGCAACATTATGACGATGTGATAATGTTTGGAGGTTGGCTACAATAACAGGTCCAACTATGTTTAAAATGGGTTTTTGCAGCTTATCTAAAAGAGAAAACTTGGCTATTGTTGTAACAAGAAAACCAAGTGCACCGGATGGAAAATTACTGTAATGTTCAGAATTCCTGATACAACTGGGTGAAGTCAAGTAACAACAAGGTTGGATATAATTATAAATTCAGGTTGGATACATAATATAGGTTATGCATAGATAATTAAAGAACACATAAAAAGTTACTATTGTGTGCCTGCAGACAACATATGCTAGAAAGATTTTTGTCTTCTGTTTTCTTAACAATTTTTGGAAAATGTCAATCTCTAAATTATGAGCCACTTTAAAACTTTTTAAAGTATTTTAAAAGCCATTTTAAAAATGAACTATGGTCTAAACTTGCATTAAGTCCAGATACCACTTTTAGAAAAATTAATATTGAGGAACCAATTTAGTCAGATACCCTTGCTAAGAATTTGAAGTAAAAGTTTGTCTTTTATTTTCTAAAGTAAATTAATTTTGACAAAATAATTATGTTATGTTAATGATAATTGTTTGGGTTTATTATATAAATGTATGGGTTTGTTGCTGAAGATGTTAAAAATGATGTCAATTCTTGCAATATCCTCAAAACTGACAGCATTATTTAGTCTTTATTGGAATTCTAATGGTTGTACTATGGTTGCACTGTTCAAGTTCAAGTTTACATATTGCACTAGCTAAATCTTGTATGGATTGATTGTTCAGGTTTTTATGATTCCGCTGAAACAACTTCCATAAAATTCCAAGTTCTCAAAAAAGTCAATGTGGATTATCCTCAATACTTCACTACACATTTTCTGCGTTTTCTTTTCATTTTCATTTTTATTCATATAATTAAAATATTGGTAAAACTTGAGTTATTGTCTTTGCCAAGTTTGAGTTTCACATTCTTGTGGGAGCAAATATGACTTTTTTACATTTAGATTCATATCTGATATGAATTTACATTTAGAAGCATATCCTTTTTATACATAATTTTTTTATTGTTAGACAGGGTTGATAGGTTAGACCCAAAAAAGAATAGATTTTAAAAAGGGAAGTAAGTTGATAGAAATTGAACAAGCAGTTTTAAATTATTCTAATAATAGTTTGACAAATAATAATGAATTGTATTTACAAATTATAGAAAAACATGTTCTACGTCTACTCTAAAACAGTAGGTGTCATTTATTTAGGATATATGTTTAAAAGAAGAAACCGTTATTGGTCAATACTATATCCAAAATTATTTAAAACAAAATTTATGCTCAAAATAAATCAGCTAAAGTTTGTAGCATAGATTCAAAATTTATCAGTTACTAGCAGAGGTGCCTGCGTTGCTGGGCACCGGCAAAATAAATCAAAGTTGCTGGTGTACAAAGAAAACCACCCTCTAAAAATCAATTACTTGACTAAAAAACTCTTAATCCTGGGTACTATAAAAAAACTGCTGCAGAGCCTCTTGGTACACAACAATAAAAGTTCATCCATTCAGGGATTTTATATACACCATACACACATAATTTTATATATATTCATACACAATACTCATTTGAAAAGAACAATGCCCCTGTACCAAGTTGACCACCACAAAGTAAAGGAACCAAAAATGAATTAGTTACCACCAAAAAACAATATATCCTCACCCGTTCCCCGCAGCAACATGCAAAGAGCAAACCGACCCCCCGAACTGACTCCTAGAACTGCAACCCTGCAAATGATGTGAAAAGTTGATACCTCAGCAACCCAGTAAAAACTGAGCTATGAAAATCAAATCATAGGAAATACTCAGCCCGTCCCCATGACCATTCCGACCTCCAGCGACCCCTTAGGTCATTTGCATCCCCACCCTCAGGGGCGAGGAACAACTCTGCACTTCGCAAGAAACACTCTATCCAGCTCCCTGACCCAGAAATGACCATTTGAAAGCCCCCGTAACCCCGGGCGGCCTCCAGTGACCTCCAAGGTCAACTTTACATAGCCTATGTCACTCCCTGGGTCATGGGGATCATCCATGCCAAATTTCAAGTTTCTAGGACCAACGGTCTGGCTGTTAACTGGGAACAAACAATCAAGCAATCAATCAGAATTGACAAATATATATAAGATGAATTCAAATAAGATTTAAATTGATAACACTTTGTTCTAAATTAAAAAGAAAGTAAAATTTTCATTTCATTCTAAGTGTACCAAGGTCCTATATGGGCCATCTTAGATTTTGATGAAACTTGTTGGGTTAGTTTAAATCAATGAGAAAAGCAATTCCTAAAACTTTCAGCATAAAACTTTTTATACTTCATGAAATATGGTCATTTGAAATTTTTGACTTTTTTAAGACAAAAAACTTCAGTACTGAAAACATGTTTTGTTCATACTTTGAAGTTGTACTATTGTTTATTACACATATATATGTTCTAAAAACAAACTTTCAGAAAACCTTCTAGTTATTTTTATTTTGGTCTTTAAGTTTTTAGTTTCCTAAAGAAACTGTGAACTCAGTTTTTATGGATCTTAAAAATCAACTGTAACTAATTTCATTAAGACTCTCATAACTTAGTTATGAGAATCTTAATGAAATTAGTTTTAGTTGATTTTTAAGATCCATAAAAACTGAGTTCACAGTTTTTTAGGAAAATAAAAATTTAAAGACCAGAATTTTTTTCGGAATTTTCAATTTGCAATCATTTAATTCGCCCGCTTGTTATTATATACAACTGTAGCCATATTTTACTGAAACATTGACAATGAATTTTTTTTTGTCACACTTATTCTTAATGGGTACCTATAAAACCTGAAAATTGTTTGCAAGTTTAAAAAGTTGATTTTTGAATGGTCAATATATAAAATTAGCAATTTCAGAAGTGAAAACACATATTTTTTAAGTTTCTTTATAAGATACAGTTTATTATTAAACTGTATGTTAATAAGATACAGTTTAGAAAGAAATTATTTCTGAAAATGGCTTTAAAGAAAAAAATGTTCTAGGCGAAAATGTACATGTTAAAAAGTAAATAAATGGGGGTGGATGTGGAGGAAGTGCTATTAAAAAAATGTGTTTAGTTCAGACTTAATTTAAGACATCTTTCTTTTACTAATTATGAAATGTTTTTATGTATTTTTTTATTTCAAATCATAATACAAACTAAAGATTCAATGATTAAGTTATTTAATAGAATCAATGATTTTATTTAATAATTTAACTTGAGTGTGTTCACAAATAGATAAAACATTGTACAATGTTTTATCTATTCGTGAATATGGTTTTAAAAAAAACCATTAGTAACATTTATGTGTCATAAATTAGAAGTTATGGAATGGTATGCACAACATGTCTATCAGAAGACCTTTATAATTAAATTTAACAATTTCACATCTGATGAGCTAGAGGTTTAAGAATTTTTAAAGAAGAATAACTTAAACATACTGTTGTGTGGTGTGGTAGTGTTTGTTTGTTTGTTTGTTTTTTGCCTCTGAAACATTACTTTTATAAATTTTTTTTTAAATATTTGCCTCAAATACTTGAAATGAGAGCCAAAAAAATGAAGCAGAGGAAGACCTTCAGATAAAAACTAACACCTACACTCTACCAAATGTAAAATGTTATGTCAATCATTCCATATACTTTGTAAAAGGTGAAATATTTAATATTTAGTGATGACTTATATAAAAAGTTTAAAGTATTTATTTTACATTTAGAAACACTGGAGTGATGTTGTTGCAGATTGTTCTCAAGGTTTGATGAGTTTTTTAAAATACTATTTTATTACATATATTATTACACAGTATTATTACATATATTATTACACAGTATTATTATTTGTAGTGGTGTTATTTGTTGTATGTTATTTGTAGTGGTAAATGCAAGAATTTTATTATTGAATTGTGCATGCTGCTTAGTTATGCTATGTAGAGTGTGTCAAAAAGAGAGTTAACTTAATAATGTGTTTCTAAGTAATTCATAAGAGATGTAGTGGTTTGCAAATCAGCTTAATAAGTTTTCTTCATTTAAAGAACTTTTTTGACATTTATTTGTCAGTATTGGTTGAGTTTTATTTTACTTACAGTTTATAGTAAAAAATTATGAATATTTGAACTAAAAGTACAACATATTATATTAGTAAGAAAACATCAATTAATACGAAATCTCTTAATACAATTAATAATTTATTATTATTATAAAGTAATGATAAATAAAAGTCAATATTTTTAAATAAACTTGAATAAATTAGGCAAATTTTGCGACTAAAGTTGTATATGAGCTGTTTTAATTCATGAAGCTAAAATATTTTTAATTTTTAAAACCCTTATACAATTTTGCTTAAGGTATCTAAAAATTTTGAACATGATAGTTAACTTTTTTTTCAAAAATTTTTTTTAAACTTTAAAATTAAGGAAATGAGTTTTTATAAATAAGTTTTCTTTGTTTCTGAGGCCAGTGTGCTACCACTGCGTCATGGCAACTCAAAAATCAGATTCATCAGTTGGTTATAAAATGGCAAAAGTTCATAGATTAATTCAAAATTTTTGAAGAAAAAATAAACAAATTTATTTTTTTACACCAGCCTAATATTATAACATTTAAAAACAAAAAATTTCAGTCAAAATAAAAGCTTCATAAACCATTTTTTTTTTCTAATGTTTAAGCACTGAAACGCAAAAAGGAAAGTTTATAGTAAAAAGTTATACAGATAGCAAAGTTTTTAAAACCTTTAAATGTGATGAACTTTTTTTCTTCAATATACAACTGATGTTTTTAAAATCTAAAAATGATTTGGTAATCATTTTTAGGTTTTGGATTGTTTTTTCATTTGTTTTTTTTTTCAAAATTTCCAAACTTTTATAGTCTTTAAATAATTCTATTAACAATAATGTTATTTAAATATTCAATTTTATTTTTGAAAGTAATTTTTTTTCTTAACAAGTATTAAATTTTTTTAATTTATTTTATCTAACAGGTTAAAAAAGGGAAATCCCAAAAATTAAAATATAATTCAACTTTTGCAATAATACTTTTTTTTTAAATCAATCTTCTATCCCTTTAAAATTAATGTTATTCTTTCTGGGTATATTTTTTGTTATCTTCATTTTTGTTATGTTCATTATGTTTGTTTTTATAACTGCTTTCAAAAACATTGTTGTTATAAATGTAAGGGAAGATTATGTTAAAAACAATACTTATATAGTTTAATAAATTCAACTTAAATGTAAGTTCTCAAAATTTATTTCTAATCGATAGAAAATGTTTTGAAGTTTTACATTATTTGAAATATTGCTTATATTTTGTATTTCTACAAAAATAAAATAGTAAAAAAAATCTTTAATACATAAATCTTTATTTAAAGCATTTGATTTTTTCATTTAGCACTGATATGAAATTCCAGGATGATAAAAGTTATATTTTTATAATTTTATAGCTATCCAGTTAAATCCAAAATACACAAAAGCTCTTGGAAGGAGAGCAAGGGCATACGAAGCTCTTGATGAAAAAAGAAATTGTTTAGAAGGTATGTATTGAGCAAAATGTTTTAAATAGATACTAAAAATTAGTTTATCTATGATATAGTTAAATATTTGTGGATTAGATGGAAATGAAATTAAAATTTTTTTGTTATATCTACAGATTTTTTTCGAAACCTCTTTAGGGTAAAAAAAATCTAATTTGACTTTTTTACAAAATAAGCTAATTTAGATGCCTACAAACATTAATAATATTTATTCTACAAGAATAAATATTTTTGTAGAATTATGAATAAAATTCATTAAAACACTTTATCAAGAGTTTTTCCTATTAATATTTTTAAATTGTTTTTTACTCAAAATACCTAAAAAGCAGCTTAAGGCATTTTGAAAAACAGCTGTTGCATTGCTACCATAAAAATTTCTTTACTTTTATTTATTGTAAGATTTTATTTAAAAAAGTTTTTTTATCAAGTTCTTACTATTTACATTTTTGTTGATTTCTGGCAATGCACAATTGACCAGGACCATGCTGTGAATGCACATTGGTCCAGGGTTATGCTATGAATGCAAAGCAACTTTTTTTGTATATTTAAAATGTTATGCGATGACCAAAAACTTTAAAGCTCGTAGTTTTTATGTTTTTCTAAAGTAAACTTTAAAAAAATGTAAGTGAAGTCAAAAAATGAAAAAAATTACTTTTTTTGGAGACAAGAATTCTCTTCAAACTTTTATAAATGGTGACTTATAATAACCTATATATTTTTAAAATTATTTACTTCTAACATGGCACAGTGGGTCAGGAGTTAGTAAAAAGTTCAAAGCTTAAGTTCATATATCAATTTTCTCATTCATTTGCAATCAATATGCATATCCATATGGTTAAAAAAGTTCATTTTACAATGCTGTTTATCAATTTTATATCTTTTCTTTAGGGTATCTTCAAGTCAATAAGATGTTAATATATAAGTGAAAAATGTAAATTATCTGAAAATATTAGCCATGTAACTGTGATTTTAAAAATTAATCTATCCTTGTGGAATTTAAAAAAATTTTATACCTGTATTTTAATGATTATTTAGAAACCATGGGAAGCAAAGGAACCTAAGTTTTTTACGACAAAACCCCTTTTTCTGTATAATAACTTACTTATAATTGAAAAATAAGACATGTGTGTCAAAAAAAACAACAGGTTTCCACTGATTTCTTTTAGAATCTTTTGTTATATTTTTAGAGATTCTGTGGTTTTATGAAAGAAAGTGGTAAAATAAACCTGAAGGTGTGCAAAATAATGAAAAAATAGCAGACAAAATAATGCTTTATTTGATAAAACACCAATCATTTTTCAGCAACACAGATTTGTAAACAATAAAAGTTGTATAAAAAGTTTACTTGAAATGCTTGACTTGATTAGCAAACTAGCTTGACTTGATTAGCAAAGCGCTAGGAGAGGAGTTAAATATAGATGTTATTTTATGGATTTTACAAAAGCTTTTGATTCTATTGCATGTATCTGAATGAAAAAATGTTGTAATTGTTGTTCCGCAAGGATTTATACTAGGCCCACTACTAATTATTATATACAAATGATTTATGTGTTAATCTAAAAAACAATGTAAAACTCTTTGCTGATGATACAAAATTGATTTTGGTAATAAAGAATCAAGAGGTCAATAAAAATCTTCAAAACAATATAGAACTTGAACTAAGTGGTCAAGTGAAAAGGTAATTAAATTTAAAGAAAATAAATGCAAAGTAATGCATTTTAATAAAAGTAATCAAAAACATGATTATTAATTAAATGGTTTTATGCTATAAAAAACTCAGAAATTGATCTTGGGGTTGAAATCATGGGGTAAAATTGGGCTTGACTTATAACTGATGAGAAGGAATAAAAACTTCAATGCTTATCTGATTCCATGATATTAATTAGAAGGCATAATTATTACAGAAGAAATGAAAAGCAGTCCATAAATGGTCACAAAAAATCACAAAAGAAATTCCAATTAGTTTCAAGGTAGTAGTGTGTAGTGTGATGAGTCAGAAAAAGAAGAGGGAGATAAATTTTTTTATAGCATGGAGACTATAGCATGGTTCAAACCATGGGAAACAATCAATGGAAACAAGGGGAAACTGAACGCAAGTAAGAGATTGTGCTTTAAAAAAAAAGGACAAATTGAATTGTTTACGCAATTGTTTACGCAAGTAATGTGATTAAAAAAACTTTAAAAAAAATGCTTTATTGGAAACCCTAAATGAGTTCTATTTAATGAAATAAAAAATTAAAAAATTATTGAAAAATATATTTAAAGGTTGCACAAGACCAATAAACATCAGACAGGTCACTAATTTTATCAAAAACTAATTCAAATAAAAGTAAATCCTATAAGGAGGCATGGAAACAAGTTATACTGGGTTAAGTGTTACTAGTAGCAGGATAATTGTAATGATCCTGAACCTGACCTGACCTAAAGAAGATCAACATAAAGTATTTAAATAAAAAAAAACAATAAACCATGCGCTTAACATTTTTTAAAAACTGTTAAAAACAAAATTTTGATCAGTAAGGAAAGTTTTTGCCCAGGTTTGCCCATTATGAAACTTTTTGTTTTTAAAAATATTTATAATTTCTTATTAATAATTACTGCATTATTAATTTGTTAATTATTTAAAAAGTCATGAAAAATAATGCAAAAAGTCTGTAAAATAATGCAAAAAGCATGAAATATGTAAAATGTGTCCATTTTTTATTTTGTCACTTGTGCTTGGTTTGATGTTATTGGTTTGTCCATCAAAGGACATATATCAATAGCTATTGTAGGCTACGGTAAAATGAGTTTTCACCAAAAATTTCAATATGTTAGCTTCAAAATGATGCAGAGTTTTTTTTTACAATGTATGTAGTAAAAAGTAATAATGTTTTAACATTTTACAGATGTGACAGCTGTTTGCTTGCTTGAAGGATTCCAAAATCAACAGTGTATGCTTCTCGCTGATAGAATACTTAAATCAATAGGGAAGGAACTAGCTGCAAAACATTTTGAAGTATTATCTGGTTTTAAGTATAATTATATTGTATAAACATGAGTATATAAATATAGTATAATTATATAAATATTTGTCTTATATAAGCATCTTTTTTTAAAAGTGTTATTTGCATTGTTTAACATTTAAAGTAATAATAAGACATTTTCTAGATTTTTTTTTTTTTTGATTTGAAGCTTGAATGTCTTTGAAATTTTTAGAGTCGACCACGTGTTTTGCCGTCATCTTTCTTTGTGAAATCATATCTTGACTCTTTTAATTCTGGTATGACATTAAGAATTTGAAGAACAATATTTTACATGTAAAACATATTTAAATTCACACCATTTTTTCAGATATTTTTTATGTTGAAATTCCCGAAGACATTCAAGAGTTTACTTCATATCATAAAATCATTGAAGCAATGAAAAAAAAAGAATATACTAAAATTGTTGAAAAATGCACTGAAGAAATTGAAAAAGGTATATTAGGTTTATAAAAAATATTTTATTTCAATAAATATGTTATGATATTTGATTATTTTTTATATAAAACCTGTTTACTGACTGGCTATATAAGTAAGATAAAAATAAAAATTGTTAATATAAATAAGATAAAAAAAAAGTAAATTAAATGTTATATTATTGTTGACAATATTACTGTTACATCAAAATTTTTTTCTATTGCAGTATCTTATCTTGATTTTTTTTTAACTTTAGTTTGAATTAAACAGGAAAAACTTAAAAAATAGAATTAGATTATTATGACTGTTACATCATAACATTATGTTAGTATATTAGTATATAAAAGTATATTTCAATACACTAGCACTAGTGATTGAAATAAGTTTTGTTTTAAAGCTGCATAGTAGATTTTAGATTTTCTAAAAAATAACAATTTTTGAATCAGAACTTGGTAAACTTTATTAAGTAATAAAATATTAAATAATAAAAATATAAAAAATAAAACAAATTTGAAACTAGTATTACAAAATGATTTAATTATAAGAAATTTTTTTAAATAACTGCAAGAGATGTATAAAACAATTTAACCATACAAGGAAACTTAAAAAACACACAAAAAAATTAAAAAATATTTATAAATAAAAAATTTGAAACACAATAAATAAATTTGACATTTACTTTGCATCACATTGTTTATATCAAGATTGGTTATAGCAGGATTGCTTATAACAGTATACTTCACAAACAGTATACTTTACAAGGTGTATGCTCCACAAATGTGTTTATCTTGATATTATTTTTTTTAACTTAACTTTTTTTAAATTTCAATTAAATAGGAAAACATGAAAAATATAAAAAATAAACTTGAAATAGAAATAGATTATTATATCATCTGGCTATTATAGCACAAATCGAGAAAAACTGTGGTTGAAATGAAATCCGTAAATTCAGTTTTTTGTTGTAAAAACAAAAACATTAAAATTTAAGATGTAATCTATTTAAGTTGTTTAAATATTTTTTTTTTTAATTAAAAGAAGAGAAAATTTGAAATTGAATAAAATGATAAAATTTTTTAAATAAAATTAGAAAAAAAAGAGTTATTAAAGTAGAAGAATTTTTAATTTGAATAATGATTATTTTAGAATTTGTTAAAAAACTTTTTTTAAACTAAAAATAAAAAAGTTCACTTTCACAAGATTTTTTAATTTTATCACCTTTTTTGTTTGATAATATTAAAGATGTCTAATGATCAAGAGTCTTCTATACAATAGATTTTAGTTTGATTGAATTTTTGTTTCCAATTTGTTATTCATATTTCTCATTAATTTGTGTGTTTATTGTATTCATTGTTTGCATTATTTCGTGCAATATTGTTATCATTTCATCATTTTGAAGAAACATTGATTGTTATTATAATTCAGAACCAATTATTTTAATTCTGTAATATACAATGTAATAGGGATTAATTTTTTTTAAGTAATTAATATACTGATTTGAATATGAATGAAATAAATTTTTATTTAAAAGTATTGAAAAATAATTTTAGATGGTAAATATAAAAATAGAGCATATCTTCTTCGTGGAACAATGTATACTTTAATGTGCAACATACCAAACGCTTTGGCAGATTTAAATAAAGTGATAGAGTTAGAGGAAAATGAAACAAACAATGAGGTTACCTAATTTTTATAATTTTAATATGTAGCAGTACTTTTAAAACACTTTTTACATTTATATTTATTTTATTTTAAAACACATTTTACATTACATACAAGCATTACATCATGCACTACAAGATATTAAAAGCTATTTAATTCTCCTTGTAATATTAGATATCAAAGATCAAATCTGTATTTATTATAGAAGATAAAAAAAATAAATTCGTGCTCTTTTAGGCATAAACAAAGTTTAGAACAAACTTTTTTAAAAAGAAATATTCCTTATTTTAAAAAAAAGGATTAATTTTTTATTACTACATGTCCCATAATCCTCTGCAAAATAAGATTAAAAAAGATAAGTAACTTTTGAAACTTTACCGTTGAAATGTTTTTTGTTCAATAGTAAATTTAAGGTGTTTATTTTGGAATTAATTAACTGGTTTTTAAATAGTTATGTGATATAGCTGATTATTCTAAAGTGCTTGCTGGTATTGTTGTGTAAATTATTTTATGTGTGCCTCTGGTACTTGATGATGGACCATTTAATTTTGATATTTAACCTTTTTAATTTAGATAACATTATTTAATTGTATTTATATTAGTTTTATTTTAACATAGTGAGCTAGATTGCTTAATTTAGTTTTAAAATAATTTAGAAAATTTTTAAAATATTATAGTATTATTTATATAATTTTACAGACTGGTGTACAGAATTTTAATTCAGAATGCACATTATACAAAGTTTAGCAAATAAGTTAATGGACCAATATTTGAATATTAAATTTAATATACCTAGTTTTAAGCAGCTGTGGTGTAGTGGTTAGAGTTTTGGCTTCAAAAGTGGTGGAGGTCTGTGATTCTAAGCCAGCGATGATGCTTATGTTCATCATCGGTAATAAAGGAGGCATGAATTTCCTTTATAAATGCTATGCTGATTTGCTCTGTCATTAAACTGTTAGAACTTGGTGGAGCACCAATAGCTAAAATATGTTCCTAGTTTATCTGATATGGTTGTAATTTGGCTTTTACATATTTTATACTTTAAATTTTTTAAAGTATAAAATAGTGGAGATTACAGAAGTATAAAATAGTGGAGAATACAGAAAAATAAAACAGTGGAGATCACAGAAGTATAAAGTAGTGAAGATTACAGGAGAGTAAAATATTTGAAAAAATACAAAAGACACAAATCTACACTTTACATCACCTCAATTACATCAGTTTTCTGAAATTTGACACATGTTTAAAGATATAACTTAGGAAAGACTGTAAACTTTTTTTAATAAAATATTTATCCGTTTAGGATTTACAGTAATTAGAAGTTCGTTTATTTATTTATTATTATTATTATTAACTTTCACTGCAAAAGGAGGTGGAAAAGTGTCAAAAATGTTCCGTTTACTTTTACCATTACAAGGTGCTTATAGTAATGCTGCATTGTTGAAATTTGGTACCAAAAGAGTTTAAAACCTGCTAAATCTGAAAGTTTTAGATCTCTCAAAACAAAGGAATATAGTTGATTTAAGATGCATAAAATGCACTTTTTGCAATAAAAAAGGAAATTGATAGTTATAGCTATAAAAAAAACTGAGAAAAAAAAAATTTCTTAAAAATAAGTATATCAACTTGTTTTTTACTTTAATTTTTGCCTTACGTTTGGCGTTACCTTTACTTGAGGAGTTATTGATGTTTGAAATGGAAACAAAATTTTGTGATATTTTAAAAGTCAGATAATCAATCTATCCCAACCTTTTACCAATCAATCTAATTAGAAATTAACAGTTTAGTGAATTTATTATTTTTTTTTATTTTTATTTATTATATACAACAATAAAAAAAGTATAAAAAATTCTTTAGGAAAAGTATATATATTTTAAAAAGTATATATATTTAAAAAAAAATACTCAATTTTAGTAAGTTTATTTATGCTTTCCTTCGCATTATACACCATGTTCACATCATCCATCATATCATCTGAAACAAAACAATAAGATTTGTACAAAGCAACACCTTTTTGGAATAAATAATAGCAGGATGTACATTGTAAAATTGTAGCTTTGTACTTCGTTCTAAACTAATAGTTTATAGTTTTCTGAAAAATCACCCAGAAAAAATGCTATTTTTATGTATCTTCCTTTCTTGCTCTCAGGTATGATTCTTGACTCTTGGTTAAATACAAGTGTGGTGCAAAGTTTTGTCAGATTTTTACAAACTAGTTCAATTTATTCAATCGTTTGCTCTTTTTTTTTTTTTTTCATTTGCATTCACTCCCAACAAGGCTGCAAGCAACCACTATTAAGTTGGGAGTTACTAGGAAAAAAAAGAACAGAGTTATAGAGCAAGGAAACGGTTGACAGAAGACTTGAAAAGTTGCAGGTTATATGAGTCAGGAAAACATGAAGATGGGAGAGTTCCAAAAGATTGAAGTGCGGGGAAAAAAACTAGATGAATAAAAGTTTTTAGAGCATGCAGGGACAGATACAGTAAACGAATGAGACTTAGCTGAATAACGAGTAAAACGAGAATGAATTTTAGTTGATGCAAATAGAGATGATAACTCCTTTGAGCCATGACCATGATAGTATTTGTAGAAAAGAGAAAAAGATGCAACTTTACGACAATGGGAAAGAGGCTCAAGCTTAGCAGATAATCCAGGTCCAACAACATTTACAATGCGTTTTTGGACCTTGTCAAGAAGAGAAAGTGAATCGTTAGAAGAACCAGCCCAAATATGACAACAGTATTCCATACAGGGACAAAAAAGAGATTTGTAGAGGTAGAGAATGGAATCAAAAGTAAGGAAATGGCAAGTACGATAAAGAGAAGCAACCTTAGCAGAAGCTAATTTAGTAATTGATTGTATATATGGTTTCCATGAAAGGTCAGTAGTAAGCGATAATCCAAGAAGACGTAAAGAGGAGGACTCAGTAAGAGGATTGCCATTCATTAATATAGGAATGTTGACCATATTACGGTAGTTGTTTGCAGTAAACAACTGGGTTTTGTTAGAGTCGAAATTCACAAGCCACTGTGAACTCCAATCTATTACTGAAGTGAGATCGGATTCAAGATCAGCTGCTTGTTCTAGGCGATCGAAAAGAGACTTTTTGTCAAGACAGGAGTATAAAGTTGAGTCATCAGCAAAAAGAGCTACTTTAGATGAAAGGTTGTCAGGAAGATCGTTTATGTAGATAAGAAACAAAACAGGGCCCAGGATGGAACCTTGGGGAACCCTAGAAGATACTGGAAATAGAGAAGAGTGTTGGCCTTCAAGGATGACACTTCATTTAATAAACCGGTTAGAAAGAAATGATTTGATTATCTCAAAAACTTTCCCAGAAACACCATATGAAGCAAGTTTATGGAAAAGACCAGCATGCCAAACTTTGTCGAAAGCTTTAGATATGTCGAGAGCAATAGCCCTAGCCTCACCGCCTCCATCTAATGCACAATAAAATCTTTCAGTTACAGCAGTTAGCAAGTCGGTCGTAGAGCGAGAGGATCGAAAACCTTATTAATTGTCTGACAGTAGTTTTTTTGACTCAAGATGAGATGTGAGGAATTTGTTGATCAAAGACTCAAAGAACTTGCTAATAACAGAAAGAAGACTGATCGGACGATAATTGGAGGGGTCAGAATTTTCTCCAGAGTTTTTGAATATTGGAACCACAGATACCATTTTCCAACAAGCAGGAAAACAAGACTCAGTCAAACACTTGTTAAATAGTTTAGAGAGAATTGAAGAAAGTTCTGGAGAACAATTCTGCAAGACTTTGACAGGAATGTTGTCTGGACCAGAAGCTGTAGATGGGTTTAATTGAGATATGACTTTAGCAACAGAAGCCGGAGTGATTTGAATGTCTAACAATGGGTCAACCTGTTTGACTGGAGTGGAAGGAAGAGAATGTCCATAAGATTCAAGAGTGGAATTAGAATAAAAGTTATTTGCAAATAGTTCTGCCTTATCCTTGGGAGAGGTAATAAGATCAGTCCCATGAATGAGAGATGGAATGTTAGATCTACCCTTGTTAATAATGCTGTTGAAGATTTTCCAAAAGTCTTTAGAGCCTAAGTTCTGTGATAAGATGCGAGATTTAGTGAACTGAGAATAATGGAGTTTAGCATCAGAAAGCACTTTTTTACATCGATTTCTTGCAATAATAAATAGCCGTTTGTTCTCAAGAGAGTTGTTCTTTTGAAAAAGATGAAAAAAATGATTACGATTCGATATAGCAGCCGCACAAGAAGGAGAAAACCATGGAGTAGAATGAGGCTTGGCTTGAAACCAATGAGAAGGAATAAAAGCTTCCATTCCAGCCTGAATCTAGGAGGTTACGTAGGAGGCGCATTTATCAGCTGAGAGAGAAAAAATATCAGCCCAAGGACCATCACGAAGAAAATCACGAAAAGAATCCCAGTCAGCTTTAGGGTAGTAGTAGGTGGTACAATGATAAGGGGAGCCCAAAAAAGAAGTACCAGAAGAAAGATTTATAGAGATCATTGCATGGTCAGAACCACCTAAGAAAGAAAAGGGAAAAACTGAACATAAGCTAGGGTCAGAGACAAGACATAAGTCGAGTAGGGAAGGTAAATGATTAGGGTTGTCAGGAAAACGAGTCACAAAGTTAACTATCTGAGTAAGAGATTAAGAAACGCAGAAGTTAAAAGCTTTAGTGCCAGCAGGATCAGTGGTGTTAGAGCCAAGTTATTCAGTGTGATGGGTATTAAAATCACCACCAACAACAATATTGGCAGAGGGGTAAAGAGAGAGGGCATGGTCAATTTGATCAGAGGTAACATCTAAAAGAGTGCAATCATGGGAAGAAGGAGAACGATAAAGAGCAAAGAGAAAGGTGATAGAGTGAAGAGGTGCTAGGCGAAAGCACATAAAAGTATTGTCAAAGAGTTCAAACCTGATTTCACAACAAATAGGGGAATTAATGTGTATGTATACCCCTAAACCTAGCATGCGACTATTGGAGTCTTTACGAATCAAAAGATAGTACCCATCAACACTGACATCTGAAGAAGGAATTGCCGAATTTAAATTTGTTTCACTGAGTGCAAGCAAGTCTGGTGAATTTTGGAGGAGGTAAGACTCAACTGACGGAAAGTTGCCTCGCAGACCGTGAATACTTGTAAAAGTTATATTAAAACATTTAGGTGGTGGGTTTTTTAGGTTTAAAATTTTTGGTTACTTTGGTCATGATTTGGGTTTAATGAGAACTTGAATCATTCATAGATAGAGCACAGCCTCCTAATCAATGAGCTATGCAGTTGTCTCAGTCCTGTAAATTAACCCTAAGCCGTGACATAGGGCTCCTTATGTGACCTTGACAATGCACACCAAAAGCATTAACAGGGACACCATCCATGCGCAATATGGCACTGTTAATACTCTGATATTTTGCAGCTGTTGATGGAATTCTATGAACAGAGTCAAGGAGATCCAACATTCATCATCCTAGGCAGGAAATAATGTAACACAGGTTACATCTACACCTTCTACAAGACAGTAGCTGGATGCAGTTAACATCTGCCCAAGATGAGTATTTTCATCAAGACGAGGAGTTTATTTCTCCTAGCCTTTGCCTAAGAAAAGCACACTCTGCAAGGCAGCAGGGCTTGTGGCAGGTGGTACTAGGTTATGTGATACCAGTAGCAAGATTGATCTTGATTATCCTGACCTGACCAGGAGTAGTTAAAAGGAGTTACTTCCCGCAAAAGTACTTTGAGAAAACCAGGCATGACATTTTGGAAGTGCATTAGGAAAAACACTGCATCTAACAAAATACAGGAGTCTAAGGTGAGTGTAGGTTTTGTAGTTGGAGTAAGTAGCTAGTTACTGAGCTCACGCTGCATCAGAGAATAGACAGAACACAAACAAATATAAATCAACTTAAGGGTGAGTCAACACCGCACCAGAGGTTCAGACAGAACACAAACATACATAAAAAACATAATGTAACTTACGGGTGAGCGAACACCGCGCCAGAGGTTCAGACAGAACACAAACATACATAAAAAAACATAAAAAATATTAAGTAACTTACGGGTTAGCGTACATTGCGCCAGAGGTTCAAACAGAACACAGACATACATAAAAAACATAAAACAACTTACGGGTGAGCGAACACTGCGCCAGTGGTTCAGACAGAACACAAACATACATATAAAGTAGATTACAGGTGAGCTAATACAGTAACTAAGGCACCTCCAACTATATAAAAAAACTGTTGTTTTCCACTGACCAAATTCTACTTCATCATCTTCAAACTCCAATTAAATCATAAATTTTTTCAATCAATGCATTCATAGTTGCTAAGCATCTTTTATATATTAGCATATACAGTCTTTATTAGTTATGTCACATAAAATATAAAGTAACAATTCTTTGTATGTGACACCAAGAGGATGCAAAAGCAGTTTTCAACTTTACTTCAACAAATAGGGCACAACTTTTTTCCAGGTATAAGATTTAAACCTGTGGTTTCTGTTTCTAACACAATATGCATTGTAATCGCACTTAGAGATGCTGGAAAAAAATGTATTACGTAAATACTATACATTAATTATAGCAATATTAATATTATAAAACAATGAACAAATCCTATTGCCAAAAAAATTTATAAACAACTTATACTCATTAAAATATAAATATATAATTTTTTACCTCTACACAGTTTTTAGTGAGTTTAAAATGGATTACACCAATTTTTTTGATTATTCTATTATCTCACAATTAGCATATCATGATGCTGCATGCATATTCTATTAAATTGTTCATTATTCAAGTTTGTTTGTTTTAAAAGTAATTTATGATCATTCCTGTCAATATCTTCAATCGGATTTCTTACTTGGGTATATGATTGTTTATAAAAACCTTCATAATTATTTTCAAAGGAACAATTGATTTTGTTATCCATATAAAACTATAATGAGCAATCACATTTTAAACACTAAAATTCAAGAAATCTTAAATACAATGTCCCTAATGAGTAAAGTACACTTAAACACAAACAATATGTCTAAAATAAAAATAAAGTTATATTTATAAGGAACATAGTGCTTGAACTAGAAAATATTAGTTTCAATAGACATATTTTAAATGACTAATTATCTACCAATCTTTGTCAGTTTTCTACTAATTATCTACCCATTTTTCTTTTTGTGGTCTATAACTATGACTAAATTGTTTAAAACACTATCACAAGTTTTTTTTTTGACTTTTGTTATAGTTTATACTAGCCACTCAAATAAAACATGTTTTCTTCTTCACTGGATAGTTTTCTTCTTTACTGTAATAGTTTTCATCTTCCTTGTAATAGTTTTCTTCGCTGTAATAATTTTCTTCTTCGCTTCTTAATAAAAACACTTTTGAAATCGACGCTTTGCATTTCTCTTCAGATTTTTCTTAAAATTTTTTTATTTTTAGCTCAAGATAAATGCTTTAATAAAAAGAGGAAGTTTGAAGATGCAAGAAGCAAAAGATTCAGAATGTTATGACGATTTTGATCTTGCACTTAAAATTAGTAATAAAAATGCAAATATTTTCCACCACAGAGGTCAGGTTAGTGATTGATCTTTTTGTTTTTATTTTTAAACATTTTGCTCTAATGTCCTTTTTTTAATTAGTTATTAATTGCTTTTTTAAACAAAAATTGTTAAACTAATGGTTAATTATAATTATCAGCTGTATTTGTTATAATCATCTATATATAGTTTATCTTATTATTATTAATTAAATTTTTATATATATCATTTCCACTTATTTAGTTATATTTCCTCACTAGTTATATTTTCTCACTGAACGGTTGGATGAAGCTAAAAAAGAGTTTGAAACTGCCATTTCCTTAGATCCAAAGTTTGTTGCGCCTCGTCTTCAGCTAGGTTATTGTGTATGTAAGCTGGCCATGCAAGCTATGTCAATGAGTATGATGAATGAGGCAAACAAAATTTTAGAAGAAACTACTAAATTATTCCCTCAGTGTGCAGAAGCGTGGAGTCTTTATGGACAGGTATTTTTTTTTTTTTTTTTTTTTACTAACAAACACCTTTACTTAGAATTTTTATCTTTAAAGTGTTTTTAATAGCTATTGCAAGATCAACAGAGGTTAGACGAAGCTTTAGAAAAATTAGAAAAAGCAATATCAATAGCGCCTGACAATCCCACCACTTACATTTATAAAGGGTAATGTTCTTACTTATTAAAACAATACTCTGATGTTTTATTTTGGTGTGTTAATATCTAGACTTGTAATTTCATTCAGTTTGCTCATGTTACAATGGAAACAAGACGTGGATGAAGCAAACCGATTGATAAGAAAAGCGATTGAAATTGACGATAAATGTGATTTTGCATACGAAACATTAGCTACACTCGAAGTTCAAAAGTACGAAAATTTATTTTTTTGTATATATTTTGATTTTACTTATGGAGTATTTTATTTTTTGTTTGTTAAATGTTTGCTATTGTGCTTTCTATAAAGGATTTTTTTTATTTAGAGGAAATAACGAAGAAGCTGTTCGTTTATTTGAACGCGCAATCACGTTAGTACGATCTGAATCTGAAATGGCAAACACTTTTTCGCTTCTTGAAGCCGCTAAAGCTCAAGCGAAAGTGACAAAAGAGTATGGTGTTACCCTGCCGCCGATGCCAATGTAATATTTCTTCAATGTCAATATTTTGATTTTTAATATTTATTGGTATACAAAATCTAGTCCTTAATTTTCAATCTGGGGTCCTGCACTGATCTAAAATGGCAATTTGTGAATTTTAGGGAAGCCTAAATTAACAAATTAGTATTTTTAAATGTTGCTATTGCATGCTGCCATAACCCTCGCTTGCTTTTCATATGTTTATTACAAAAAAAAATTTTTTTGCTGTTTAGGATATAAATCACACGTTAGTAACTTTCATTTTATAAAAATGGTTTAAAACTGCCCTTCCTATTTGTTGTTGTACCGTTTTAAACAAAAATTTAACAATTTGATTTTTGTATGATTAGATTTATATTGTAATCAACAGTGCCGCATAAAAAAAAATAATTTCTCGCTAAATAATGGCAGTGGGTAAATCTTTTATATTATTGAATAGAAAAAAATTATTTAAAATGATTTTTGTATTTTAACTATCCTGACATTTTATCAAACAAACTGGTTCTGATGGGATCTCTCCAATTTTATTAAAAATCTGCTCAAAAATATTATCAAAAATATTTATATGTTTATGCGAAGTAGGTTAAATTCAACAAAATAAAAAGAAGCAAATCTGTCACCAGTATTCTAAAAAAGCAGAACAAATCCATCAAAGTATTGCAAGTCTGTAAAGTATGTAAAATTATGGAAAGAATAATGAAGAAATAATACAAAGCATCTCATTCATAATAAATTCGGAATACCGCTTAATAAAAATCGAAATACCGCTTCAAGTATTCAAAAGCACTTAAATTATAAAGCAACACCTTTCGGGATTGAGATTCGGAAATTTTCGGTAAATGTCCGAAATAGCTGAGATAATAAAGCACAAGCTCGAAAAACGATTTGCTGCACGTATGTAAATACGGCCAGGAGTATGTTTAATGGAACTATCTTTCCAACAAAACCTGGTAAAATATGTGAAGAGCTCCATCTAGTATAGGATAATCATCCATAGGAGCGAGTTAATAGTTGGAGGTAACCCGACGCACTATGCGTCGCTCTAATGCAAAATGAGGAAATAGGCTCATAAATAAAGAAGCATTCAACATATTGAGATGATTTTTTCACAAGACATCGAGTGTGTGTGTAAATCACCTTTTTTTAGTTTATGCTCATTCTGCTCGATAAGTTGATTGCCCTATTTAATCAGATTTTTTAATTAATCTCTGTTTTTCCCCATATGTTCTAATCTATATTTCAGGATCTTTTTCTAATCTTTTATATATTAGTTATTGTTAAAAAAGTTACGAATTGTATATATATAAATATAAATATATATATATATATATATATATATATATATATATATATATATATATATATATATATATATATATATATATATATATGTATATATATATATATATGTATATATATATATATATATATATATATATATATATATATATATATATATATATATATATATACATATATATATATATATATATATATATATATATATATATAATTTATTATTATTTATTATATATTATAATTTAATATTTATCGCTTATTTAACAATAATAATAACAACTTAATATATAAATTATATTATACTCACAAGAAATATTTACTTTCTTGATTTTTGATGTTTTAAATTTAGTTAGAAACAATTTTTTTCCTTTTCCACAAGTTTTTATAAAATAAAAAGCCAGACTTTCAAAAATGTTAAAACTCACTGTGAAAATATGCCTTGGAGGAAAATCGTCAAACAAAAGTTTTCTGAGATTAAAAGTAACCATTTTGATTCACTTTTAACTTGGAAGATTAAAAGTAACCATCTTAAATCCACTCTTAACTTAGAAGTTATAACTTAATACTAGAAACAAACCACTCCGCATACAGTTTTTGTTTTTTATACTTATTAACTAACCGGTTTTTAATAAAACCCACTACAATGAACTGATTTTATACTTTGTTATTACAGAGGTAGCCAGAATATTATAAATGTCTGATTATCTAGAAAAATTTATAATGAATAAAAAACTGGCTACCTCTGTAGTAACATGGTCTAATCAATCAATCTTTACGGACACACAAAAACAATGGTCCAAACATTTTTTTTTCTTTTCTTGGTTTTTAATTTACAAAAGGCATCATTTATTTGATAATATGCAAAAAAATTTTGGAAATTTAGAAGCTATCGTATGTAATGAAAAGATTTAATGAAAACCCGGGTGTCTTTACCCCTGAAATTCCCGCACTTAAAAAGGCAAATTCAAAAAAATTTGTGACAAACATTTTTTATTAATTAATGCTAGCTTGTTTTTGTTGAAAAATATTCCAAAAAATTAAAGTTGAAATATTTTCTCCGAAAAGTAAGAAAAATCCTATTTCCGCTTCGCAAAGCATAGTGCGACGCCGCTATTGAGTTATTTTAAACTACTGTCTACTTTACCGTTACCGATATAGTCGGCAGCAAAACTTAAATCCTGAATGAATAACAACTATTTGTTTGCTGTCAACATACCTGATGACTTGCTTTATAAATTTAACTCAACACGGAAAAAAGTACTAGATTTACACATAGTAAAGATTGGCAGGTTGATTGCCCTTTCTTGATACTTTGGTTATTTTTTACCCAAATAGTTTACCCAAATAGGTACGTTTATATTAATTTAAAAATAGATTAATTTAGAATTGTATTTTTATGGTTCACCAAAAATATTCAAGTAAAAACATTAAAAATGGCGACAACAAAGCGGAATAACAGCTTTTTCTTAAACTTCATATCAAATGAACGGATTGCCTGTCTTTTCCTATGCAGATTAATGGTGATTTTGGAACATTTTGTTGACACTAGTGTATTAAACATATTGTAGATTCAGAGAAAACGATTGTTTTAAATTTTGTATAAAAATAAAAGTAACTTTGCGTAAAACAAAACTAATAAGCTCCAGGTGCGTTACGTAATGTAAACAAGAAGTATTTAAGCAGTTAGATGGGTAAGAAGGCACAATAAGATATCTAAGGAAAAAGAAGCTTGAATAGCAGAAAACGTTTTTTTGTAAAAAAAATTTTTTACGAAAAAGTTTGATTTTTTTTTAATATTAACACGAAAATGGCTAAATTGAGTGTTTTACAATAAAAAATAATTATTTTAGAAGTAAAATTCAAGTTCCTTGATAAATTTTTCATAAGAACCAATAAAAAAATATTTTTTGAAAAAATATCAAAAAAAAGAGGATCTACCACCTTAAGTCTAACCATTTTCTTTGGTCCATTGGGGGTTTGAGTTATCAAGAATAGCCGTTCTAAGCTAATTCTAAAACTAAACTCTAAGCTCAACGTTATTATAACACTGCATAACATTAAATACAGTGTTATATTGTATTACATTGTAATACGATGGTTTAAAAACCAAAAGTAACTTAACTACATGAATCAATGTACAGTCAATATTTGTTAATTATTATTGTTCAATGTTGCTAAAATAGCATTACCAAGTTAAAAAAAATGTATACAGGCAGCTAATTACAAATAATCTATAATAATTACATTAATTTGCAATAATAAAAATAATAAGTTATTTAGAAGTCGAACTTAAACTTAAAGTGTTACATAAGTTTAAAATACCATAGTATAATTGAAAATAATTTAGTACACTAATATTTAATTAAATATCTTTTAATTTTATTTTACTCAGTGGTGTACCTAGGGTTATTGGCGCCCATGGTAACCACCAATCTTACACCCCCTACCGACGATAGGTTGCTTACATTTTTATTTTCTAAAAAACTACATTAACATTCGTTAGAAAAGTACACAAAAAAAAAGTACACAAAAAAAAAAGTACACAAATCTATATACATTTTATTACAAATTTATCTTCCTTCTTTTAGGTAACGCGATTTGTTTAATTATGTTATCAAATCAGTTTCTTTGGTCATTTCTCGTTTTAATTCTATCTTATATAATTTGCAAAGCAAGATTATATAATTGAATTTGTCCCATCGAGGCTCTCAAATATGAAAGTATTAATTTTAACTTACTGAATGGTTCGCAACTGGCAATAGAAACCGCGATTGTCAGCAAAATTTGCAATAGTACTATAAACTATAAAATTAAACATTAATGGGAGTTGCCAAAAATGACTAGCCGATGACTAACCACTATATCACATGTTGGAAAGTTATTGGCTGGCCATATATAACGGATACCACTAACGGATAATAAGTAACCGATCAGCGAAATTCCAATGAATCCATCAAAATGCTTAAATAGGTTCACTTCAAATCCACTACAAAAATATTTAATGGGTTTATTAGCGTTTAGACAGGATTCTAATTAAAAAAATGAACTTTAAAAATTGACTTTTTCCCCTAATTTCTTTAAAAGACTAAACGTTTACTCCTGGCAATTATTTAATAGAGAAATCAAATAGCTACCAAACGCCGTATTAACATCTCTCAGTTAAACTAACGGAGAATTTGAGTGCCCGTTAAGAAAAAAATCTCTAAACTGCCAATTATAAACCATTTGAAATTAAATGGTATTCTAATCCTTCCTTTTAGGCTCCGTTTATTAACCGCTTCAATAATTCTTTTAGTTTAAATTCCTCCCTTACTTAGCTTCGTTAACTAGCTTTCGTATTGTTTTTCTCATCGCATCGATGCCAACAGACAATGGTTTTGTTTAATTGGTAAATTAGTGATTTTTTAAATAACTGTTGCTGATAAATTCTCTAAATTTAATTTAATTACGCTATAATACGAAAAAATTAAAAATCTTGTATCTACTTAACAATTAGTTTCACTTTTTTAAACTTTATGTTTATGCTTCTTCAGTCTTATGGATGAAACATTTTTCCTCCAAGATGGAGGAGAAAATGTTTATTTATTCTCCTCCAAGGTGGAGGTTTTATTCTCCTAGTGTTTAAACTGTATATTATATCTTCAAAATGAAGATAATATTCAATTTAAAGTTATTTCACTGTGCATCTTGTACTGTGTTCTTTCTGTTTAAGAAATTGAAAACTAATTATTCAAAAACTATTTTATTTTAAAAATAAAC